CCCAATGACAGTTGAGCTCTGGTAGACTTTCCAAACACACATTTTCTGATCCTTGAACTTCCAGCAGCTCTCAAACCGAAACTGTATTTTCTCTGCCATGAGACCCCTGGTCTGTAGCCCCCTGTTTATTGGCTGTGATTACCTCTGCTACTCTCACTTAGGTTTATGTTTTGTAGTTTTGCTCTTTCTGCTGACAACTCTTAGAATTAGTGTACAAGCTATCTTATTAGGGAGTTCCTGTCTTCTTGGCTGCAGGATCTGTGCAGCATTTGCAGCTGTTATCAAACAGATTACCAAAAGACAAAGAAAACAGAAGATAATAATGGAAAGTTAAGGGAAAGGTTCTCAGAAACCTCCCAAATTGAGAACATTGCTATTGCTGCACTGCAGCCTTACTTAAACACTCACTTATTAGGCATGTTTTACCTGTGAAATTCCAACTCAGACTATATATATATATTACCATCATTCCTAGCATTAAAGTTTGAACTGCATACTTTTAACAAAGTCCACCTCTATCACTGTGAAGTTAAAACAATTGCTAACATTCAGAGTCTACTGCCAAAACTCTCCTAGTTGATGGTCAGAAGGCATAACTCTTAAATACAACTCATGTTCAAACCACACAACTAAAATACTTCCCAGCTTCAAGAATTCTTGCACCTCTGTCATCAAGACATTAATGACAGGCCTCTGGAATCCCTCAGCATGGCTATTCAACCATTCTCAGATGCCAGACTCTTATTACTGGAAAGGTACTGCCTCCCATTATGCAGCAATTCTTAACTGCATATTTGTGAAATAACCCATATTTTGTCTGAGTGTAGAGACCTGATAAAAGGCAGACAAGGTGCATCTGACAAGCATCAGAAGGGTACATGAAGGAGGTAGGGAACTCGGAGTGGGTATTTATAAAATACTTCAGTAATCCTGAGATCAAAAATGTTCTCAGCCCCATATTTGTAGGCATTTTTTGGATGCTTGTCAGAGATGGCAAGAGTAATTCCTTCCTGTCCTGTAGCCTTTGGTGGCTATCCAAAAAATAAGAGATTTAGAAGGAGGGGAAAAGAATGTATGAGTCACAAGGGCATTTTTAATTTGTAAATGGCATTTGTAAGGCTGATACTAAAATTCTTCATCCAATTCTGACATACAGATTTCAAGGAGGCTTCATGAGGTATCAGAAAAGGTGCAAAGATAAAGGACTCAGGAGATACAAAGATATCCAGCAGGAGATAGAAACATTTTCGTTCTTAAGATATCAAGGTGATTTGATTGTAACAACTGAAGTTACAACAACCTCCCATAGGAGAGAGATAATAGATAGTAAGTCTGGTTCCTGGATAAGAAGTAAAAGTAATTGAAAATAGAAAGCTAACTCTTCTTAGCAGATTAGAGAATTAGAATAAGCAATCATTGCAAGAAAACTCTTGAGGCCAAAGATCAAGTCCGGGCATCTTTTAAAGATCTACCTCCATCAAGTTACTAGGCTTTGTATATGGATAGCATATAAAGATTACCTTGAGGGAAGACCAGGCCTAATGAGCTAATGGCCCCTGTTGGTCTTAAAGTCCATAAATATTTAAGTAGAGGAGTACAGTGTGCTGTGATGTGACTGCTTGTTATGCTTCTGGATTTGAGTTGGTTGACCAAATACACTCTTGAAGTCTACATATGCTAGGTGAAGAATAGAGCACCTTTCTATCACCAAGCAACACACTGTTCTTGGTGCCATATGATTTTTCCCTCTAATGAAACACTATACATTAATATCAGTCTGCACACAATTTTCTCAAAACAAAGTCCTGAATCACTTTTGGGACATAAACTGACAAAACAGATCAACATGGGCAGTTTCAGGAGGCAGCTGATTTTCCACCACCCATCTGTTGTTTAAACAAATTGAGCAGTTGCACATATTGAGAGACAGTTACTAGTTCAGGTTGCTTTCTAAGCTTTACTATTTGACAGCAAAGAAAAACAACTTAGCTTTTAAAATTCACAAAATATTTCCAGAACCATTCCAACTCCACCAGATAAAAATGAAGCTACCCATTGCCACCTTGGGTAAGGTCCAATACAGATGTGAGTTTTCACGACATTTAAATATATACTTATGTGAGCAAGCGTAGATACCCCGGATATCACTGAAAATAACAGATACACAGGGAGGAAACTGAATTACTCCATACAGCTTGTTCATTGTTCATGTCTGTACTCACTTTTCTGGTAGCTCTGTTAAGAACCATACAGAATGTTTGTCTACAGTCTATTAGGAACATCAAACTTCATTATGGCAATTCTCCTATTAAATCTCTGATGACAAGTATAAAAGTGGCCAATCGTCTACACACTTATATAGGAACTGAGAAATACAGGAGAATGAAGTACAAAAGTTACATGAGTATCTTGCATTTAAAGAAAGACATTCTAAACAGCAACAAAATCTTTGCTAAAAGCATTCTGTGTTACTTTTTTTTTTATACAAGCAATTCCTTTGTACCTCAATACAGTTTTAATTGTATGATTCCCAGGATTTATTTTCCTTTTTTAGGAATGTATATTGCATATACAATGCAGATATAATAATATTTGTCTACGCATAAACTTACACAGTAGTAGTATTCATTCCTAAATGTCCAATCACAACTTATTTACAATTATTTAAAATTGTTACCATCTGCAAGCTAAATGGCATGTTTTCTCATGTGTTCTCAATCTAAAAATTATTGTGATTTTCATAGATTGGACACAAGTTTAATGAGAATATGTAATTGCTGAGGTAGAGATCTCTTCCAGATCCAGTAGAAAATTTAAAAAATCCCCTAGTTCATCAAGACTGGGTACCTATGACTGCAAAAGTCCTTGAGAGGACTTTTCATACCTTCTGTGATCAAGTGATCACAATTGTCTCACAAGTGCTCATATTTTTGAACTATTTTCTTTATATTAGTGGATGTCATTTTTTACGATAGCTGTTAACCACAAAAGAGGTGAACCAACAAAAGTACAGCAGAGTTTAATAAATGGGATCAGAAGTCTAGAAAGCTTGTTCTACCGAAAGAAGTGGGATTGTTTAGTCTAAAAAAGAGAAGACTGAGGAAAGATAAGATAACAGTCTTCAAGTATGTAAAAGGTTGTTGTAATAATCCTTCTTCATGCCCACAGCAGATCAGGCAAGATGCAATGGGCTTAAATTACAGTAAACATGACTTAAGGATTAAGGAAGGCATTTTATGGGACACTGGAAAATTAAGTTTCATGTTTTTAAAGCTTGCCTATTTAAAAATTAAGTAGATTAATGTAGCAAGAACTGAATTCACTAATCAGCATGTACTGTAGCACAAATAGATAACAGATCCATTGTGAAGGACTGCAAATATGTCCAGATGGAGACTAAGGAAGAAAACAAATGCTGACATAAAACCATGAAACTTAATTAAACAGATTAATTTCTTCTTCCATAATGGCCAAAAGTTGAAGATCTGTGCTGTACAATTACTTGATAGCAAACTCTTACTTTTACTTAGGAATATTTCAGTTTTCACTCTGTCGCTGACTTTGTTCAGTTAGAGTACAAGGACAGAATTTCAAAATTCTAAGAATAATTTTTGTATGTTCAGGGGAACTCAAAATTAAAAATAACAACAACAACAAAAAAAGCTTAATAAGGGAGCTGTTCTCCCTAAGTCACAAGATCAGGTAATCATTCTGATGTTAAAAGAAAAGTATTTTTCCCTTTCTCCCTAAGTGTTGCTTCTTATTGACCTCTGCCTGTAACCACTCTTTTCTAAAAACTGTTTTGATGAGTTTGGAAAAGCAGAAAAACAAGTAACTATTAACTAATCACTGATATTCAAATAATTTCATCAGTGTTTAACCTGCAGCCAATCTTTCATTTCTTTCTTTAAGGCAGAGAAAATGCTGAGCTGAAAGCTGGAAGTCTTATTTAACTCATCTTAGTAGTAGTCATGCAACAAAACAGGCAATAATCACACCTCCTGATATGAGGTAAAAACTGTTCCTTGCTATGTTTAATTCAAAAAGGGAGCAACAGGAATTTTTTTGCTCTTATATTACCTGGAGATTAAAAAAAACTAAAGAAACCTAACTAAAGTGTAGTGGTTTACTAGTTTTCTCTTTGGAAAGGAAGACATCTATTTTATCTTCTTCTCCAAAACAAGACTTAGATACTGAACAGTACACATACTTTCAGTAGAATCATACTTACTTTTTACTCGGTTTAGGAGATGTTGAACAAAGCAAAAAATATCCATTCCACAGAATGACAGGCATTTAATTCAAGAGTTACATCAGTCACAGTAACTAATACTGCTGCTGTTAGATGCCCTTCGTGCCACTGGACACCTGGCACAGTACACTTTTAGCCATGATAAGACTATGAACTAACCCATACTGAGTATACTCCAAAGCACTATTTACTGACAGATGCTCTTTCATCAAGGAAACATTCCTTTCCATATTGGTTCTCAAAAGACATCTCACGTCTTCAAGGAGCTGAGATTTGGATTGAATCACCTTTCTAATGAAGTGCTAAATTAAGATTAATAAATCAAGCTACATGGATTAATCTTATTCTAACAGGGAATTATTAAAAAAAAAAAAAAACCAAAAAAAAACCAAACAAGGTTTGGATCAGAACTTAATCATAGAAAGAGATATACAAGACGTGGTCACCTTGATCTCTTATGGATTTTTAAACTACATTTTTACTACCTCCATGCTCAGACACACCTAAATCGAAGGGAAAATAGAGTTTTTATTTCCCTCATTAATCTTGGACTAAATAACAACATATTATATACCTGCTAGAAGCATTCACCAAATGGAGAGCTAAAAATACGTGGGAGAGCACAGCAGTTTCTAATGAAAACCCAACAAATGTCACCGTCCTGGGCTGAAGCTGCAATCTCAGGTAGGTTCACAGATTCCTTTGGAGTAAAGCGTAAAGGTGATTCACTTGAACAGGTTATTATTACCTTGAATACTCCTTTTGAAAAAAGCTTTGCAGCCCTCACAGGACCAGACTCCATAGTGGTAGCCTGAAGCATAGTCATTGCAGACAGCACAGTACCGGGTCTCCTTGGTGGACTCCATGGACAGGCTCCCTTTCTCGTTGGTACTGGACATCCTCTCCCGGATGCTGTGGCGCCTGTTATCAGAGGTTGGCCTGTTAGCAGCAAAACCAACAAAACATACTTTTTTCAGTGAGGTTAAGTCTCATCCACTCCTGCAGATTGCAAGAAGAGCAAATTTAGTTTTGAAATGATAGATGAACAAAAATAATCTTTTATCCCACTGTGTTCTGTTCTAGCTGGAAAGGTGTGGAACCAGTAAGATCCAGGGGAATTTCAAACAAATCAATCTGATGTTATTAGGCATTGTACCTTGAAAAATTAAAAATCAATTTGATAAATTAATAAACTTTTCTCAAGATATTTCAAAACAATTTTTAAAAGCAGTTGGTCTTTTTTCTGTGTGTGCCTGCTGCCTGCTCCTGTCCAAAAGGTTCAATATGACTGTAGTAACAGTAGGTTGTTTGAGAATTCAAGACAAAAATCACTTAATGCTTGCACCTGAATTTGCAGGTTACTTAAATTATTATCCAGGCTATTTTTTAGTATTATTGCCAGCCATCCCCTCAAGACTTTTTACATATAAAAAAAAAAAAAAAAAAAGCCCAAACCCAAATGGGATCTATTTTTATTGAACAGCTTTGAATAATTATCAGTTTTTAGAGAAGCACAAGACTGCCATACTAGATAACATAAACTGCTACTGTCATCGTTCAGAAAAAAATGTGTTACTTTAAACCCAAAGTTCTTTACAAAGCCTCCTATAACAGATAATTTTGAACAGTTATTTAAATATTTTTTGTTTCCTTGGGACTTGTGCAACCCAGAAGAAACTTTAATTGGTGAAGCGGTGACATGGCACAACTCTGGCTTTTTAGTGAGAGGGGCAAACTGAAACACATCACACTTCTCACAACTTGAATTTAACAAAGTGGGCAGGGGGAACATATCCTTGCACATTTCAGATGTTAATATGTGAAAACATGAAAACAATATCATTAATAAATCATTATGGATTCAACATATGCATTGTTTATGTAGCCCAACCCACCAGATCTAGGTAAGCTTTTTTATCCTTCTCCAAGTCCTTAGTTTTCTTTTGAATTTGCTTTATCTCAGTGCCTCATTTAATAGACGATTATTTTTTTATTTTTTTTTACTGAGCACTGATCAAAGCTATTGCTTTTTATCTTTTCCACCCCATTCTCTCCTGCCTGCAGCTAGATCACCTAATTCATCTACTCAGTGTAACTTTAAATTAACCACAATGTGGCTTCTATTTTTTTTTAAATACACTTTTAGGTATATATAACTACAAGCATCTTTTAAATATTTACAGTAAATCAGCAAGCAAGCAAATAACTGTCAATGTAATTTTAATAGCAATAGTCTGTTAGGTGTACATGATCATCTGATATCCATAATTTTGGAAATATATTTTTCAAACCTGCTACAAATAAGTGAAATAAGATAGGGTTCACAAAATTATTTTCATTATAAATGAAAAATGAAAATAAATTACAGCTTAAAAATGTTTGTCTTTTTTAAAAAGCACATTAAAAAAAAAAGTAGAAGGAAGAAAATATCAGGTTCCAAAATAAATACACATTTTTGCAGGTGTGTAGTAATTTTCCACAACCACACACAGGGACAAACTTATTAAAGCAATCCTTGTTTCCTAGCTGGATACAAAAGAAATCACTTCAATTAACAGGTAAAACTAGGAAGCAATGGGACAGCTCACTCCCTCTAAGCACATACAGGATCTGTGGCACAGGGGACACAGACAGGGGAGCAAGGCCACACCATGGGCTCACGCCTGGTCCTAATGCCCCTGTGTTTCAGATTTGACTAAGACTTCCAATGCCTTCCTGCACACAAACTTGTTACATTGAAAGAGTACTATAATTCTGTTAATGCAAACCTTTGCAAAGCAAAATTAATCCAAAGATGGCCTTGCTGGCTTCCCATCCCTCTCCCAAAATCAGTGACAGTCGAGCAATACTTCCATAAGGTTTTGCAAACTTGGCCTTGCAGAGTCATCACATTGAGGCTTTTGTGAACCACAATAGGAAGTACACTAAAATGCCCATAGCCCCATTCTCCCCAGAAGTAACATCCTGCCAGCCCTTTCCATTTATACAATGGAAATGAAACCTGATAATAAATAAATTTGTGTTTATCACAACTCTAGTACTTATTAGAAAAGGTGAGGAGGAAATACTTTGTTTTTTGGAAAAGAGTACTGCAGTAACACAGAGCTTGTTAAATCAAATTAACATCTCAGATTGCATCCAGAAATCAGCTGCCAGTTAGTGTATATCACAGACCACTGATGATGTGTCCTAACAAAAAATAACAGTCTGCTCCTCATCCAGTTTTCAGTTAGGTTTCAAGGGTTAGCCTTCTGGAGAACACAGCACAACAACCGAACCCAACTTCAATAACTTTGGCAAGATTGTAATTCCAAAAATACAATAGCAGGACCTTTTCAACAATTTCCTTTGAAAAAAAAAAACAAAAACAAAAAAAACAAAACCACAACCAACAAACCACAAAAAAAGACAAAAAAACCCAAAAGTTCTTGTCAACTATGTTTACCGAAGTGAAACACAAATTAAAAAAAAAGAAAACCCCATATAAGGCCTTCCCTCCAAGGCCCCCACCAAAACAGAACAGATTAGAAAGCAAAAAAAACTCAAGATTTACTGCTCACTTTGAAATGTAATAACACAACAGACATAAAATAGAAAGTGTTTTGGAACCTACAAAGCAAGACAAACTCAACTTCCCCACTCTCATGTTTTTCCACCTAAGTCTCACTGATTCTTCTCTTCAGTAAATGTGTTAGCAAACAAGACAACTCTGCTTTAAACATTCTCTCATCACCTGCAACTCTGAATCAGCCAAGAGATCATTAACACTACGTTGGCTGTAAGGTAAAAGAATGTGTACATGAGGGAACTACATTTTTGTAATGTAAACTCGATTTTTTACATCATGGTATCTGACCAACAGGCAGGATGAATTTAAAATAACCCACAGTACAAAATCCATCCTGGTGAGGTAAGGCCCAGTTTATTCATAAACTCAGCTTTATCTAAATAGATTTATAGATTGGAGGGCTTAAGTGAAAAACTATTTAGGCAGTTAAAGGAAACACCTTGTGAAATTCTAGTTTTCTGAAATTGTTTTCATACAATACATTTTAATCTGCAGCTGTGAATAAGCGCCCTCCACAAAAGATATGTCTCTTACTCTAAGTTGACTGTAACAGAAAGATGTAAACAGAAGGAAAAAAAAAAAAAAAGGAGGAGAATTCATACAGGACAAAATATTTCTTAAAGATTATTTGAACATAATGAAGTGCTTGAAAATATTTCTAAAGGACATCTCAAGGAGAAGTATTGCAATAGGAATTAATAAGTATACAAAGACAAAATCGCCAACATTAAACAACTCAAAACTCTACTCTCAGGAAGTAGGTTCAATGAATCTGAAAAGAAATCATGTCATCCAAATGTGGACTTAAAACAAATATCCAAAAATGCCTAGAGTTGTAATTAAGCTAAATACAACCTGACAATTCAGAGAGGAAGTCTTACATGGAGTTGTATATTAAACAGACAATATCACAAGGGTATTTTAGGCTAGATAGAGGTGGACCCATGCCAGCATTGGCACAAGATGTGCTGCAGCAATGAAGGTGGGTTTCAGCAGTGGGGCTGGAAGCTGGCATCACTCCTTGACTGATACGGTGCTGGTGATGAACATCAATTGGGGCTCACCTGATTGCGAGTGATTCCTGGTCCATAATTCCAGGCACTTTTCACTCACACAGATAAACTCTCTTCCTCCTCAAACCAGGAACATTCCACAGTGTACCAGAAAATGTATTTTATAGTCAGAAGACACTGGAATATTTTCTTTAGAACTAGAATAAAATATATTTTTATTTGGTAACTGAATTAAAATAGCTTAGGAAAAATAGCTCAGTACTGACCAAGAAAGGGTATTGTTGAGGATAGTCTCTGTCAATCTTAAAACAAAAGCTTATCTTCTTAGGTCACCAAAACTTGTTAATTAACATGAAATTAAACGTTTCATTTGGTGTTAGTTTTATCATCCTCTTTCATCCTTAACTCTGGTTAATTTTAAAATGACTGATTGAAATGCTACATTTGGGCATGCAAAAATTAAACTGTGCCATAGGTGAAGAAGGATCTCCTCTAAAGCTGTTTGCTAAAGTCAGTATAAATTTCATTCCCTTAATTATTTTTTTTTTCCAGATTTGTCCCTAGTATTTGCAGACTGGATTAAAGTCTAGAGAGGTGTGTCTATGCAGAGGCACTGTGTGGCCCCTGGCATCTCCAGTCATATTTCCTGGAGATTCTGGTTATAGGAAGGAAAGCCTGGGCTTCTTGTTCACATGACTGTCTGAATTTAGATGTTTTCTGTATTTCTCTCTTCTTTGTTTCTATTCTTGGGATCAGTTTTCCATGGTTTATAAACGTAAACTAGTCATTTTACAGCTGATCCCCTTGACAACATAGAAGTTTATCCAAGTTTCTGAAAATTGTGGAAGCTTTCCTTGGGTATGGCATGGGGGAAGGAGGTTAGTTTAATAGAGGAACGTGACCCGTCTATTTGTAAGTGTGAATTTAAATTTATACAAAAAATCTTTGGAAAAATACTAAGAAAATGGCTCTGTTTTCTTCTGTTTCTCTGCTGCAATCTAAACTATGACTAACTTACAGGATGATTTTCATTAGTCTGAAGTGCAGAATGGTGGTAGAGCTGTACTTCATAGAGTAGCCCAGCACTCAAGCAGTTCTGAAGCACTGGTAATTTTCTGGCTTCTTTCTTGTGCACAGAAGGTTAATAATTTCTTTCTGTACATCAGGTGAATGTAGAAACACCCACACACATGCTTTATACGAAAATACATTAGAAGAAGATTAAGATTTTAAATACAGTGTACAGCTGAACAGCACCTTGTAAATAAAACTGAAACCTTCATTTCTCCCTCCTGTACATATATATGTTAACTTTAATTATGATACTTTTCACAGGGCAACAACTCATCAGTGCATAA